CAGTTGGCGCCAGCGCCAAAAATGGATGTCACATTCGTGATCAGAACCCTCGATAACCCCTGTAGGATAAGTTTCAGCGAATTTTTTTTTTTGCCGAAATTGATTGCAAGGTTTACGAAATTGCTTGCAAGAATGACGAATTAGGGGTTAAAATGACGAAATTGATTGCAAACTTTACGGAATGGGGTAGAATTGTATTGTTACTGTTGCACAAAACGAGGCATGGTGAGGTAATTGTCTTTATTGATCACTACCTATTCTCTAATAGTCTGTGGTCTCTTCGTGACCCCGGACCTCGCCCCTGTTCCACCCTGTTTACCTTGTTTTGATCTGTTTGGCGGGAAAGCCGCTATATAACGCCACCACACAAATGTGCAGGGTCTCTCGATCTGTTTCTTTTCTCCGACTACTTTTTGGAGTGCAACACTCGTCCGCGTATTGCCTGACTGTGGCATTATTTCCTAATAAACTGTTCCATTCACTCTCGCTCTTCCGGAGAACACGAAGGAGGGGACATCGCCCACTACATGGGGGCCAAGCCAGGTCGGTACTAGGAGGTTTGGTAAGTTTAGAAGGAGTTGGTACGCCTTAGAGCGGCTCGTACAGTCCAACTCCGATCGAGTGATCGTGAAATTCGTATTTCACGGACGAAACCGAACTCCGGTATCGTGACGTTCGGGAACTACTTCCAAAAAGAGTCTTATACCGGACTCCGGGTGAATTTCAAGCGTGTTTTTGTAATCATTCGGGAAAGTATTAGCAGTATGAATCGGTTGCGATTCAACTGAATTTTGGAATGGCCGAAAGAGCATGATGCAGAGCTCACCCAAACGGACTAGTGCCTTTAATCGAACCAGGACGACAATGCATGACCGGAAAACTATGGGCCAGTCCCATAGCAGCACGGAAGGAATTTTAAGGAGTCCTTAGAGACTTGGTTGAACGTGGCATCGTGAAGAGAAGCTCTTCTGTCCCGTAAAGAAGAAGGATGGCACACTCAGAGTTCGTGTTGACTACAGGAGCTCAAACAAGTCATTCGCCAGGGTTCGTATCCACCAAAAATAGACACCGTTTTGCAGTGCCTTGCTGAAATAGATTAGTATTCTCAACAGTATCTCGCTTCAGAATTGGAGATACGTTTCTCCGAAGGCGCAAAGAGGAGAAGCACATTCACTACGAGTGAAGGCCTGTTCCAATTCACTGTGTTACCATTTGGACTGTCAACAAGTCCAGCAGTCTTCCAACGATTAATGGATGTTGTCCTTAGAGAATTAGAGCTGCGAACGAGTTTTCGTTTATGTCGAAGGAATAATGGTAGCGGATTCAGTTGAACGATACCAGTCGTGCTGTTAAAAGTATTCGAAGCACTCCGTAAGGCCGAACCTGTGACTGAAGCCCCAGAAGTATGGATTTTCGCAAAGACACCGTGATGTTTCTGGAAGTTTTTGTTTCTGTTTCTGGGATATTCTTTCTGTTTCGACATCGACAAACATGGAGTAAAGACAGATCCTGAGAAAATAAGGAAGATCGCAGAATACCCACAACCGTCGAATGTAGCCGAATTGAGGACATTCTTAGGAATGGCATCCTATTACAGAAAGTTCATAGCAGGGTTTGTTTTTGTAGAGGAAGTAAAGCTCACACTCTTCACTCCTTCAAACCACTACGAGTTCCGAGAATTTTTTGAATTTCCAGCCGCAGATCCACATAAAAATGAATACATTTATAAATCGAACAAAGTATTGTACATTATCAACACAAACCAAATTTTGAATAGAAAATCACTGCAACATTATGTACAATACGAAAAGAGCTGAAAATATAAAGAAAGATGAACCAATTCGAGGTTGCCAAGAATCTCTTCAACTCGATAACCGTACTACAAATCCGTCGTCAGAAAGACACCACCTACAACATCAGAACATGCCATAGAAGACATTGCTATACGGTATTTTACGAATGTGCATAAGGCAAAAGAAGAAAGCTACCACAACGATGTTGATGACTATAAAAGCTCTAGGGAGCAATACTTTTTAAAGCAATAGGTCTTATATGGAACACGTCATTATATTTGGAATCAATAATCATTGGTAGATGAAAAATAGTATAGCTATTGGAAATTAGAGATCCCACACAAATGCCGATCAAATGCATGATAATATTCAACTTCTATACAACCACCTGCTAGAAGAGAAACTGAAATGCTACGACATCTCTGAACAAGAATCGTTATGTACAGAGAAGAAAAACAAACATAAACAAAATCACAGCAAATGGAATGAATGGTTGTTTATCAAGACGCACCGTTTGGAGACATTACACCGAGTCTTTATAATTTAGATGGAATAGCATATCAGCCTATGTGGATACCGTGAAAGGTGACCTCGGTTCTTGGATCATCATCTGAGGGTGATCACTCAAGCTGCCTTCAGATTCCGAATATGACGAGCTCGTCGTAACACTGTCGCTGATGTCTACATTCACAAAGCTAAAAAAGGCTATATTGGTGTCCAACTGTGCGCTTTAGCTCGTAGCAACCTTAAATTCGTAACAATTGAGAACCCTGAAAAAATTTTCACATGTGCTTCGAAATATAGAAAGAAACGACTAGAATAAAAAGTGATTCACACACTTTGACACATCGGCGACCATGACATTCGCTGACGGGGTTTAATTTTTGACGCATTTTGTTTAGACGATAGTGCAGGGTGGCCACAAGCACAGTAACAAGAGCGTACTGCATACAAATTCACAAGTAAAAGGACGGACTTTTGAATGTAGCTCACCAACAGTTGATTCTATCAGTTCGATGTTCATCCTTTAGTTCTACTATGTGGAATTTATTGGCTTCCGATTGTTCGAGCTTTTACTTGTCCACGGAATAATCACTTGTTTGTTTTGTCAAAATATCTGGTGGTGCTATAATACATTGCGAATCGAGTTATGATCCGCCTGCCACAACCACCACTTCAACGATCAACGAACTAGGTACCAGGAACGATTGGTGTGGCAGTGGAAGAGAAACTAGTAGTTACTGACAGGGGAGAGTGGACTACAGAAGCAAGGTCCATATTCGCTGAACGGCCCATGAAGGCCAAAAAGTGGTGAAGGGATAGTCCAAGGATCAATCCTCGTGATGACAAAGTTTTTGCATTCTAGTTGGGGCTTCCTAATTCTCTTCAAATAGCACCAGCGCTAAAGTAGGTATCATGTCCATTATGGATCACCAGTAACTATTATTACACTCAGATTTCAACTGGAATCTGGTGGAAAAAAGTTGTCGTCTGAAGGACGCCAAATGATGCGGAAGAGGGTAAATTGGAGCCATCTGGAAAAATGGATGTCATATTCGTGATCAGAGCATTAGATATTCCTTAAAGTAGAAGTTTAGGAAAAAATTGAGATTTTGAGCCAGTTTCCGAAAAATTGGCCATCGACAGGTGCGGTCAGTAGCCTATGAATACTCGAGCTAG